ATATCTGGGGAGCTAGCCCAGTGGTTTAAGTGCCTGCCTGACAAGCACAAGAACCCAGGTTCAGTCCGAGGTACTGGACGCCATGCTGGCCCTGGGGGTTCGTCATGCAGGCTACCAAAACTGAGCATGGCAGTGCATGCCTGTAATCCCAGGATAGAGAAGACTGAGAACAGGAGGATCACTATGAGTCTAAGCTGTGTCGTGAGATCCTGTACTAAATTAATAGTGATATATAAAACATAAATTTACCAATCCAATTAGCAAATAAGCAAAGCTAGTTTCAGTCCCTAGTGAAAAGACAAAAAGAATTCCATAGACTATCAGCTGACCTAATTTTAAGGAGTTGTCTCAATCAATTCACAGCAAAATTGAAAATTGAACTATGTAGAATAAAATGGATTTATGACACATTTTCTCAAAGTCTGTGGCTGATGTAAGAGAGAAAAAATAGACAGAAGTGTCTTAGAATAAAAAAGAAGAAAGGCACTAGATAACCCACACTGGGAAATATAGGGGATCGCACCACTGACATGTGTGATATCTGGGAAAATGATGCAGGGTGATGCGTTGAGATCGGAAACCATGTCTCGTCAGGTAGAACAGTCAAAGGGCCTGGTCAATTGACCTTTCTTTCTTAGGTCAATGATGAAATTCAGTGCGACAATCCAACTATATTCATGGTACGGCCTTTCTATACAGCATACAGACTCGTAACTTCATAGGTGAACGTAGTTTTCTAGATTGATTTGTGTCTCATCTTAACATATTGTTATACAACTTAGTTTGAGGAATTGGGTTGTTTTGCTTCATGGTTTTTTTCTAAAGCTTTTCTGATTGGAAAGACTTATCCTGTATGTCTCACTGGTGGTTTTTTATATTTTAAAAGTCACTAACACATATTTGTTGAGGGCTATGGAGATAGCTCAGTGGTCTAAGTGCCTGCCTAGGCAAACACAAGGAGCCCGGTTTGATTCACAGTACTCAGGCTGTGCCGGCCCCGCCCCTCGGTACACTGAGCTGGCCACCAAGACCAGCTGTGCTAGCGCACACCTATAATTCCAACACTGGGGAGGCTGAAAACATGAGGATCACTATGAGTCTGAGCTCTGTGGTGAGACCCTGTACCAAATACATTAAAAAAAAAAATTTGTTGAGTGAACTGTGTGCCAGGCCTGGGTAAGGTGCATGCCATGGCTCAGTTAACAAATGGGGGGATAGGGGCTGAGACTCAGTTCACATACTGGCAGAGAAAGCCAGACAACAGCAAACATAATAAATAGTCGAACTCTGTGCTACACAGGAAGTACAGTAGAGAAAGCTGAGATCAGTTAAGTCAACAAGGGATGGTGAGAGGAGGAAGGGGTGGGTTGTGGCAGAAGTTTTAAGAAAGGTAACATCTGCACAATTTTTCCATTGCATCTTATTCCCTAGACTTGGAATTTGGTTTTTACTGAAGATCTCTTATCCACTGGACCAGTTCTAACTAATGAAATGTTAGGGATTTAAATTAGGTTAACTGTGCATTGTCCACTTTTCTTAGTTGAAATCCTGGATCTAAGGAGGACAGCTTGGCTGACCTCACAGGCCCAGAGGCGACAGCAGAGTAGTTCACTCTCTCAGGAGTTCTGCAGCTACACACTAGGTAGTCACCACTTCATATGATTTCATTTTGTCACTGGACACTAACTTCTACACAAAACATCGTGAGTCCCCAAGAACACACTGTGAGCACTCACATCCATGTTACTTAGAATACAGCAATAGAGGCTATCCAAACAGCTTCATAAATATGCAGGCTTGTCAGGCCATGCTAAGGTAAATGTTAGCTTATATTCTTCTAACACCATTAAGCTGCTAACTGAACAGTGTTCCCTTATATGCTAAGAGGAAATCACAGAATAATAAGTCACAGATTTGCTTAAACATTAACTTAACAGCCTAATTTTATTTTTTATAAAGGAAAGCAATTCCTAAGGAGTTATAATTGAGGAAGACTTTAGAAAAATAAAAAAGAGAAAATGAGGGCTGGGGAGATAGCTCAGTGGTCTAAGCACCTGCCTGGCAAATGCAAGTACTCAGGTTTGGTCTCTGGCACTGTATGCCAGCTCCAGAATTCTGAGCTCGACATGCAGGTTACCAAAACTGGTAGTGGTGGTGCATACCTGTAATCTCAGCACTGGGGAGGCTGAGATAGGAGGATCACTATGAGACCAAGCTATACAGTAACACCCTATACCAAGTAATTAAATAATTATTTAAAAATTATATAAAAAAGAAAACAATGTTTCTAAATCTTTCAATATATAATGAAAGGTTTATGTATAGTAAAAATTATATGTGTTATTAATATATAATATTAATATAAAATTCTATGTAATTAATATGCAATTTATTTTCTCATCAATGCTAAGTTCTTCTTAGAATACTATAATTGAATGATTAATTTTACTTCGTACAAAATATTTTAAAAATGTTAGAAGTCTTTGTATCATCAAAAGAGCTGCAGGTGTGCGGCGCCAGCTCAAGGGAGTGAGCCCGAGCTTAGCCGAGCGACTGGGTCTACGCTGGACTGATCGCGTTGCTGCCGCCGCCGCTGCCGCTGCTCCGCTCACCGTGTCCCGCCACCCCAGACCCCTACTCTTTTTGGCTCAGCCTGCGTGCCCCAGGCCCGGCCCGGGCGGCGCGAAAGGAGGATGAGTGGCGGGCGGCGGAAGGAGGAGCCGCCTCAGCCGCAGCTGGCCAACAGGGCCCTCAAAGTCTCTGTTTGGAGCAAGGTGCTGCGGAGCGACACAGCCTGGGAGGACAAGGATGAATTTTTAGATGTGATCTACTGGTTCCGACAGATCATTGCTGTGGTCCTGGGTGTCATCTGGGGAGTTTTGCCTTTGCAAGGCTTCCTGGGAATAGCAGGGTTCTGCCTGATCAATGCAGGGGTCCTGTACCTCTACTTCAGCAACTACCTACAGATTGATGAGGAAGAATATGGCGGAACATGGAAACTCACAAAAGGATTTATGACATCTTTTGCTTTGTTCATGGTCATTTGGATCATCTTCTACACTGCCATCCACTATGACTGACAGTGAGCAGCTCCCACCTGTTTCCTGTCCAGTCCTATGGACCCTCAAATTACAGCACAGAAAAATGATTGTTGGGGCATCCCAGTCACATGGAACCTGGAGGACCCATGTTTCCTGGACCAAGAATTAGAATGTTGGGCATCAGTGTTTTCTACAAGGGCTGTGACCTGACACTTTCTAAAGAACCATCCACACTGGGGAAAAAGCACTTCTGAATTTATCTGTCATCTACCATTTCTTGGATATCATCATGTAACAGCTATTTGCCAAGTGGAGCTGTGATTTAATTTGATGCACCTCTGGATCTGGATGAAACATTAAATTGTCTTCCTCGGGAAAAAAAAAAGAGCTGCAGCAGAAAATAACTAGGAAATCCCACATGTAATATACCTTGCAGTGTAAAACTGAACTCCCTTTTGTGATGAGGCTGAGGAGGCCAAGAAATGCAGTAGCACAGCCACTTGTCAGACCCATTAGATGAATACAGAATGGAAGTCTTGGGTGAAAGCCCCATAATTGTGCTCTGACACTAATTTCAAGCTATTAATCTACAAAAAGAGTTTTAGCTTGGGAGTTAGGCTATGAAAGGCACTGCTCATTTCCTCAAGCTTGCAGGTGAATGGAATCGACAGATATCTGCTTTATTTACCACCAAGGAAGTGATGTGGCAATACCTTTTTATCCTGAGATAGAATTAACAAAATATTTAAAACTCTGTCTCTCAAAGATCCAGGGACAGCAGCACTGGGAACCAGGAGAGGGAGAAGGAAGGAAGAAGAAGGGAGGAAGGGAGCGCGCAGGGAGGGACAGCGAAGGAGGGAGAGGGAGGGAAGCAGGGAGGATTGGAGGGAGGGAGCGAAGACAACAATATAAAGGAGCCCCAAGCCTCAGAAAACACTTTAGGAGAGTTCTGAATTTAAACCTGACACTGCTGGTATTTACTTACCGAAAAGAAATGTATGGGAAGAAAAATGTTGATGTTTAAGTCAAGTGAGACCTGACAGGATATTTCTGATGTGTGACATAATCTTTCATGTACCGTATATTTCACATAAATTCTTCCTCCTATATATTAAAAATGCTTCTGTGTGTCTATTGGGATCGTGCAAACTCATGGATATGGATATGTTCCTAGGTTACTCCCTCACAGAAATTAAGAAGAAATGGAATGATAAGGCGCATCCAACAAGTAGCTGCACTAACAAGCATGCCAGTAGTAGAAAGGGATGACACTGATGATTTGGAGGACAACTTTTTGTGTGTGGGGTACAGAATTTTAAATGCCCACCATTTGTTCTTGTTTTCCACAATGCTGACCTTGCCCCTAAGGAACCTGGAGCCCCTGGAAGGAGCTCTCTGCGTCTTGTCACCTACAGTACAGAAAATGGCACATTTATTTGATTTACTTGATTTAATTCTAGAACGATGGCCCCCGTAGCTGAAATAACTTAGAAATGAGGCAAATAAAGTCAGGAGTTTTCAAATTAGAGAGAACACAGTAATATTTTTAAATTCCATTTCCATCAACTGTATTTTGATGTTGGTTTTATTAATGAACTTGCTTAGCTTAGCTGGTACAAATATGTGCTTCAGAATTTTTATTATTTTGGTTCTTTTATTCTAAAACTGCTTTTATGTTTAAAAGACAATTTGCATTCACTTGTATAAGCAACCTATTTGTCTAGCAAATGAAGAATGATTTAATATCTCCAAAATATATTACCCTGGTTTAAATTCTAAACACTACCCGAAGGCCAAAAGAAATTACAGCGATGCCTCATGTATACTGGCAGTGGCCGGCACAGGAGGAAGCCGCTTACCTCCAGGGTGAAGGACAGCACCACATCTGACTTGGACAGCTGGATGTCACTCTCATCTCCCAGGTCCAAAAATGCAGAGTTCTGTGAACGTTTTAATTTTTGTAATTTAAATTCTGGACCACCTTTCGAGACTGGGAGACTTTCCAAATTGGCCATTAACAAATTCACTGAAGACCTCAACTCTTCTATGTACATACTCTCCATTTCTTTTGCTATGAATTTGGGGAATCTTCTTTCCTTAAAAACAATATTGAAAACAACAATGTTAAACAAGCCATATTTCAAATTTATCATCAAAGATAATATGATGGATATAATGCATCGTCTTACAAGTATGACACTCAATATCTCTAGGTTTTAAAATCTTATCCTTTCAAAATTTTGATGCAATCTGCAAAAGAGAGAGGGAAAGACCCCAAACAGGTATATTCTGTTTTTGTTTTAATGAACCACTATTATCTTTGAATTGCTTGGAGTAACTGGTCTATAAGAAAATATTCAGGCTATGTAGTTATGCTAGCTAGAAAAAATAATTTTTAATAATATCTCTTAAATTATGGAAAAAAACAATCTCTCTTAACACAGCTGTGATGTTGGGAGGATACACATTTTATACATAAACATTCGATAAAATGTTATTTTTACTGAATAATGTCATGGACATATTTCTAGAATTAGTTAATTTGCACATCACACAAATGTGGCAACATCTTTTATGGCCATAGTTCTGTAACTTCTTTTATAAGAGGTTTAGAAAAACTTAAGTTTAGAGCAAACAGCAATTTTACGATAACAATGTGTCAAGTGAAAAAGATTAAGAATATTGATCTAGAAGGTTCTATTTTCTTGCTAAAATACATGAAAATTGCCACTCAATACTTTTATCTCTGCAATCAGACTTGTGAATCTTTCACTCAATTAAAAGGAAATTCTAAATATTGATATTTGGACACTTCCAAACTGTCCTTACAGAACATCATACCAGCTGATATTCCTCCAAGTGGAACGTCAGTGCTGTTTTTCCTTGTTTAATCTTTGCCAACCTGACACCTGGAGGTGACGCGACCTCACAACATCAATTCCAGGGGAAGGCGTCACCCTCTGGACACAAGGGATGGGGCTGAAACCTGAGAAGGGCTTGCTTTGAAGTGGTGGCCAATGCCTCAGAAAAGTCCCTGCCTTAGGTTTGCTCCTCTCGGCACTAATCAAGCCTAACCTAAGAAATCTCCATCCCTGGAGCACCCGTGACACGTGTGTGTGGCTCTGTGCGAGCTGGGCTGGGCTGGAGCTTGGCACTGCTTTGTGACTCAGCCCAGTGTCTCAGGCCACCTGCCCCTGTCCCGATAACCTTCACATACTTCTTCTAAAAAAATCATCTGCATATAATCAACATTAAAACTGCTTTTTCAGAAAGAATATATAAATTAATGAACTTCCCTAAAGATTTTAATACTTCACTATAGTTAGAAGCAACATTCCAAAAATGTTTGCTTTTTCAAGAAAAACACAGTGTTTTCAAAAACGTATTTGAAAAATTAAAGTTGCTTTGAAATAATTTTTTATTACATGCATACAGGAGGAAAAAGCCATAAAAATATAGTTTTATATTTTGGGATCAGCTTCCAAAGTTGTCTGTACAGTATCCAACACTTGGAAAAAATGATGAATGTGATGGCCCTTTCCAACCACAGGGGCAAAGGCTGACCAGAGCACACTGGGAAAAGGCGCTTAGTGCTCCTTACTGCTTGCTATGGATTCCAGAGAGTGAGCCTACACGTGACCTCATAGGATTTTTGTCTGGAAAACATACAAATAACAGTTGTCTGGAAAGTAAAAGAACTTGACGGTTACAGTTAAAATTGTCTGATAGGGCTGGGGAGATAGCTCAGTAGAATAAGGGCTTGCCTGGCAAGCCCAAGGACCTGAGTTCAATCCCCAGTTCTGCCAAAAACCAAAAACAACAACAACAAAAATAACTATCTTCATATTAACTACTTTTTTGTCTAGGCTATAAATCTTAAAAATGCCCCCAAACTCCTACTTTCTGAAATGCTCTTTGAGTTGGCTTAAGTAGTTAGCTTGCTAATTACATATTGAATAAAATGTTTACTTTGTGTTTACTTTCTATTGATGAAAATCGTAACTTTGTCTTTCATTAATTATCTTAACAAAACAAAAGAAAATATACATTTGAAAATTCTGAGGCATTATCTTTCCAATTTTCAAAGGTGTTATTTTATAGACAACATAGCATTAGCATAGTTTAAAAGCTCTATTTTTAGCTAAAAACATTTCCTTCTCTATCATCTGTCAAAGAGGCGATTGGCAGGCACCACTAACATTGACTATTTAACTAGCATTTTAAAGCTTTGCAGTGAATAGAGTCTATAGATTTTTAATTTTTTCCTCTGAAAAATAGTTATAACTCTTTTAAAGCCTGGAGGTTTATTAGTAGTATTTCATCATTTTTATTTAGCCTTTTTCTTGGAACCCACAAAACCAACTCTACATCAGACCAGTAAATATGTGATATTTAATCTTTTTAATTGGAATGGAATCACACATAGGCTTATTTTCTTTTTATTTAACTGTGAATTGGTTCCATAAACCACAGTTCAAATGTTCTTATTCACTTCTCTGCTTAACATGGCACATGACTGGCTCTAAAACATCATATACACTAAGACAATATTTGCTTCATGAAAAGGTAACCATTATTTTAGCTCAGTGACTTTGCAAGTGCTCTTAATGTAGGGCTGTCACCACATCTTAGATGATATCTAAAGCTCGTATCACTGGTGTTATGGTTTGTGTCTAGTTGTCCCCCCAAAGCCTCAGGCAGCCATGGGGCAGACTTCTAGCGTTTGTGATTAGCTCATGATTCACTGGGACTACAGGTGTGGGGACTGCACCCAGCCTGTGACATGAAGCCTGAATGGAACAGAAGGGGCACAGACTTGCTCTCTGCAGCCATTGTTGCCACTACTTCTCCTTCTGTTCTTGCTGTTTTGCTGTTTTCCACCACCATGAACTGCTGCTCTCTGGAGTGTGCCAGTGTGCTTTGGAGCCAGCTGAGTGTGGACTGAAACATCTATTAACTGTGAGCTAAATAAACCTTTCCTTCCTTCGGGGTGTCGGGTGTTTGTCCCAGCAACAAGAGAAGAGTAACTGAGACAACTGGACAGGTTTTTCAAGTTCACCTCTCCTTGAATGGAGCAGAGTAGAAGCTAAAGAATACTAACAATGGTCAGGTTCTGGAAATATGCAAAAAGAGGAAAAAGGACTTCTGGATAAATTTTGTATGAAGGATGAAAAAAGAAGCCAAATATGATACAAAATGCTTCAGTCTGCATAAATGATAGACAGTGTTGCCAAGAAGTAGTCTGTTCTGGTCAGCTGGAAAAGGTTTTTCTTTTTTTTAATTAATATATGCTTATAGTACATAATGATTGTAACTATTGTGGGAGTTAGTACATGGACATAGTACATCTTAATTCTTTTGGTTTCTTTTTTGCTTGTTTTTTCACCCCCTAGCATTCCCCTCTCCCTCACTGCTCCTTTCAACTCTTGGTCCCCTACCTATCTGCAAAGGTTCTATTTTCATCATTTGTCCCCTTCAATTCTTTAATCCAATCCCCTTTTCATTGCCCCTTCCCTTTCCCTCCTAATCTTGTTCCCCATTCATTTAAAAAAGATCTGTCTATCTACTGTAGGTAAAATTCTGACCCTACTGATCTATTTTCTAAGTAGCAATGATCACCTTTCATAATTTAAGGTCACAGGGGACATACTTACTGCTTATCATGGGGCTCTTACTAACAAAATATAAATTCTAGGAAGGCATGTGGTAATATTTTTGTCTTGTTTCATCACTTTGCAAGCACACCTATCTGGACGTATCCCAAGCACCTAAGACAGTGCCTGCCTATACTAGCAGTTGTTTGCTAATCAACATTCAGCTAATTTACAGAAAGAAAAAAAACAAGGCTGAGAAGCATTAAATAACTTGCTTACTTTAGTTATAGGAAGTAATAATCATGGGTATAGCCATAGGTGTTTCCAACACTTAATATTTTTCCCATTTCTAATTATTCCTTCGCTACCATCCTAAATCCAGTACCTGTATCTTTTTTGTTGGGGGGAGGGCACCCGGGCCTTTGCGCTGCCCCTGCCCCCCACTATTTTGAGAGAACGTTTAGCTAAGTCACCAAGTTGCCCAGGGCAGGCTGCACGTGCGACCTTCCTGGCTCACCGCAGTGCCGGGCCACAGGAGCGAGCCTGCACACCTCATGACATTCCTATTCTTGGACAGAGATTTCTGCCTGGGGCTTGGCTGTTGTTATAGTGCATTCTTTTGTGAAGTTTGGAAGGCACTGTTACTGATTATCAAAATTTTAACTATTAGTAAACCACAGTTGTGGATTTATCAGACTGAAGAGGCCTTAGGAGGTAAGAGCGTGAGCTTAGATTTTGGAGTCAGGGTCAGAATTTGAGGCCTAGTTTGGTCATCTACTAGTTATGTGATCGTAAGCACATCACTGGCCCTGGGCTTCGATCTCCCTGTCTGTAAACTTTATATCATCTGTCCTTGTGGGTTCACTGCATGGAGGGACATAACAGAACAAGGGGAGTAACTGTAATTAGCTGTGAATGTATTTTATTAAAATGGCTTTGATTTGGTAAAACTAAACAGAAAAACAAATATCTGCAATGTCAATATTTTACTGAATTGCATCTTATTTTTAGAACTATTTTTACCCCCTTCCAACACCATCTGCTTCATCTCTTTCTCCCCACCTGTTCCACTATCAATATCCCTGATGAAATCACTGTGGCCGCCCAAGTAGAAGGCTTTGTTGTTCCCAGCTGACCCTTTCTTCTGACAGGACTTATGAAAGCCAGCACTTTCCTCTTTAGATGTGAAGCTTTTCCTCTGGTCTGTTGCCATCCAGAATATTGCTTAAAGCATCACATGTTCATCCAAGCCCGTGGAGACATAAGTCTCCTTTACAATTATGTGTCCATCTCAGGAAATATCCGCATAAAGAGCAGGAATATGCAAATCTGAGCCTAGGTCCAAGTCCCTCAGCATGCTGTTGGGCACATCTCTCCGATTCTCTCTCAGCCTCAAGCCTTCAGGAAAACTAAACATTCCTCTTGCCAAGTTCAGTAGAGGCTAACGTTGCAGCTGCAGCGTGTTCTCTCTAAGGGTTCTAATAGCTACTTGATTTCTACTCCATGAATTCCACATAAGATGACCTAGGATGCTTCAGTGCCTCTCTAAACAGAGGACAGGAATGAGGCATGAAGCACCTTCTGCTTTTTCTGTTTGATCATAACTCATGACCAGAGGAAAAAAAAATTCAAATAAGGATTATGCTGTTAGTTGGTACTATTTCTAAGTACTGTGATGAATTATTCTAGAACATAACATGATTTGCCAAAAAGATTTCTCCCTGATGATAATGTATTTAGTGAAACATTAAACCTATCTGAGACCTATTAGAGCAATTAGAGAAATTCACGCACTGCTTAAAGAGTAATCCATAAAGATCAGCAGTGAATCATGGTGACACACGTCACAGGATTCACAGCACTCAGGATGTTGAGGTAGAAGGATTACAAATTTTAGGCCAGCCTGGGTTACACAGTGAGTTCAAAGTCAGCCTCATCTATACAGTAAAAACTTGTCTAAAACATATAAACATTTCACATGCTAAGACAGATATTCAAATGGATGGTGTAGTTCACCTAGGCAAAATGCATATTCAAGTATTTGGGTTTATGAAGCATATCTATACAGGAGAAAAGGATAAATGTAGGATATCTTTACTTGTATGAAACATGCTTTACAATATGTCAATGAAAATCATTTACCTTTGCCATTTTCTCTGCCAGTTGTAGCCGACCATCAAGCTCCCTTCTGATCTGGGCTGCTTGTTCATCTGCATTATCCAGCTTAAAAACAAAACAGAAATTATATACATATGTACATATACAAGCATACATATATGTACACACATACATGCATGCTGCTCTCTAATATCATGACATATAAACTCAAAAACATTAATAAACATTCTCAGGAATACAGAAAACACTTCAACGGCTTTGGTAGTCCAATTAAATTACTATTTCATTGGGTTCTGTTCAGACAAATGTTAATAAATCTCTGAGATTCAATTTATTGGTCTACTAAGAATCTAACTATAAGAATAATTTTTAAAATGTATTTGGCACAGGGTCTCACCACGCAGCTCGGACTCATAGTGATCCTCCTGTTTTCAGCCTCCCCAGAGCCAGGATTACAGGTGTGCGTCACCACACACTGTAACGTGTGGCCAGCTCAGCCCTCCTGGGGGAGAGCCAGCACAATATGTGGTGCTGAGGATCGAACCCTGGTCCCTGCACTTGTCTAAGCAGGTGTTTAGTCCACTGATCTATCTCACTGGCTGGCTGTGCTAAGTTTATTCACAACAACTCTAAACCAAGAAGTCCTTGCTTCCTTGAGTTTACAAATCATCATCAAGTTTATTCAATCTATTATTCTCTCTTCAGGAGGTCAGTCTTCAACAACTTCATAGAGATAATCTTCTTTTTTCAGTCTTTCAAAATTCTGTTGTGAATTTTTCAGTGAGATCGAGTAATATTTTCCATCATTATGTGCACCTTCATTCTTACAGTAAGTTTGCACTGGTACTGAACTATTAGTGTACTATTTAAATTGAATGATGATTTTCTACCATTTCAATCTTCATACATTCTTCAGCCTAGAACCATACACTCACACTGCCAGGGATTGACTCCACTCTTTTACAGATGGACACACCACATTACAGCTGCATTCTCTCCTTCTAAGTTTGATAAAACTAAAAAAAAAATACAGTTATCATTTCTTAGAAACTCTCCAATAACATGGAAAATCATTTTTGTTTTCAGTGATATAATCCTTAACTTTTTTATTCCTTTAACTTTTCTCATGATTTCTTTTCTCATACCCCATTTACTGTCTTCTATTTGTTCATTATTTTTTAAAAATGTGTTAAATTGAAGATATTAAATATTAAATTGCTTTTGACTTTAATTTTTTTCCTTTCCTACGCCTACCATCAAAAAGCCTGGACCACATAATAAACCATGTTTTGGCAGGGGTGCAGGAAGTACTGTGTTAGTATTGAGCACAACATTCAACACCATGAGAATAAGGCAGCCCCTTGCTGAAGAACACACGCTAGCCCCGCTGCACTTAAACTCAGTCTGGAAGGGGGAGAGGCCTGAAAAAGCTGATTGGAAGGAAACCACCAGGTTGACAGGGTAGAATACATGAGCGACACAAAAGGGGAAATAGGGAGCAGAATCCCACAGTCCTGAGGTTAGACAGCTCAACATAGTGGCTTGAGAAGTGGGACTCATACAGGTGGGAAGGGGGCTAACCCTGGAGAGAAAGTCTGGGCTGCACAGAAGAACCCACTTCAGATCCACAGCAAGGATCTTAGAGTTGGACCCCATGAGAGGGGGATTCACTAGGAGTTTTTGTGCAGGGAACAAACACCATGATCAGAGGTAAGCTTTGGAAAGGAAAGTTCCTTGTTTCTAGAACAAACTGCAGGTCAGACGGACACAAGGACTCCTACCCTTGGTTTCAGTGTACTTCTTGCTCTTATAAAGAAAATAGGTTTGCTACTACCTTTCAAAAATGTTTACAATTTTAAAAATAAAAAATTATTTAAAAGAAATTAAACAATAAGTAAAAATTTTGAAAGTAAATCTTTGTAAAGGAGTTTGTCATTGCAAGACTTATAAACTGTTATCTGTAACTTATAAGACTGAAATCAGACAACATATTTACTTGCACTGTGGCTGAAACCAAAGTAATGTAAATTTCAAAACTGATGTAATTATAAAGAAAAAGAAAGTGTGAACAGTGTCTACTGCAGGTAACTGAAATCTCAAATTGCAATCTTCTTAAACAAAAATGATGAATCAGAACACTCTTTCTATAATCCGCTTCCAAATGTACTAAATGTAGCAGTCCATATCATCTCATCTTTAAATACAGGCATACTTTTCCACAGAAAAATAATGTAATTATACCAAAAAGTCTCACAGTTTCCCTCCCTGCTACACACATGCACACAAGTATACTCACTACAGCATTTAATATTTTAAAAGCTAGAGTTGTTCGTTTCACCAAAACATTATTTTATATCTTTAAACATTTATATCTTAAGATGATCACTTCTGGGTTTAGTTAGTAATTTCTTGGTAAGAGACATTTTTAACAACTTTTAAAAATATTAATGCTTTAAATGCATTTGTCTGCAAAAAGTGCAGGCAAATATAAAGAACAGTCTTCCCTTTGTAAAGCTAAATTTGCAGACATCAAAAGGTATTGGCTTTAGTGATGACTGTGATTTTGTGAAAATATAACAGCATACTCCAAGTTGACCCTCACCCCAAAAAGGAACAACTAATAAAAGACAATGAATAAAATGTTATTATCCTTGTTTTACATAAGTTGCATAGAAATAGGTAAGTGATTTCATTACAGTTTTTAACATGGAAGAATTCTAGCTTCCCGCATTTGTTTTCTTGACTTTTGGGCACTTTATAACATAATTTCATTCAAATGTATATAAATTTAATTTTTACGAATATTTCCTTAAAGGCAGACTTTTTCAAGTGAGAAGATTGTAAAATGGCTTGTAGTGGTAAGAAAGAGTTATCCAGGGCCAGCCAAATAGTTCTGTGGATTAAAAGCACCTGAAAGCAGGTGCAGGGTCCTGGGGTTCAATCCCTGGGCCTGCCTTGCCGCTGCTCCCCGCCCCACCCCCCGGGCACAATATGATGGCAATTGAGACTGGGAGTGGTGGTGCATGCCTGAAATACCAGCTCTTGGGAGGCTGTAAACAGGCAGATCACTAAGAGTCAGATCTAGTAGTGAGATCATGCCTGAACACCCTGTTGACCCCTAAAATACCAAAAAATAAAAAAAAGAGAAAGTTATCCATGACACACACATCACAGTTCCTCTGTGGTAACATCTTAACCTGGTGTATCATATCACAATCAGCAATGGACTATGACAAAAATCACCCATCTTATGTAGAGTTCCTCAGTATTATGTTCTAGGCAATGTCCTCCCCAGATATGTAAGTATCCATCACCATAATCCAACCATAATGAATGGTTCTAACTCTTCAATGATATCTCATGGTACCCTTTTAGAAACACATCTATCTACCTCCATTTCAGTTGGTTAGGTTTAATAATGACTAGCCTCATTTATGCAAAAATAAATGCTCCTAAAGCACAAAGGATTTGAATTTCTGTAATGAAACTGGAGATGTGCTCACCCTGTGAGCCCTGGAGCGCCCCAGGTGGGGCCCGTGAAGGGTCACTGGCTGCGTGCTCTCCTGCTCATGGCCATAGCTAGCAACAGCTTGCTGACTGCTGTCAACATCAGATCCCTAGCTCCAATCTCTGGCAGAGTTCTAGACTTACACTTCCAAATGCCTACTTACCAATTCCACCTACTGGAAGTGGCGCATTGAGCTTAACATGCCCAAACAGAGTCTGCACTTTCAGCCCCTCATTCCACTTCTAAGGATTACCACTCATAAAATGCACCGCCTCGGTCTAGTTGCTCAAGCTACACACCGAAGTAAACTCTTCGACCTCCCCCTGGAACCCAATCCACCTACTCTCAGGGACAAAGCAATGTAGAACCACATGGTGAGGTATTGGGGGGCTCAGCCAGGTTTGTTTTTACACATGCATGTTACAATATTTCTCTGTCTCCTCCCCCGCCTAGGGCTTGCTGAGTCTGGGCTTGGTGGCACATGCCTGTAATCCCAGCAATGGGGAGGCTGAAAACAGGATGACTAGGAGTCAGAGCTGTGTAATGAGACCCTGTACCAAATACATAAAAGAAAAAAAAAATGCTTCTCTAGCACATCAAGAACATCTCATTGTGCCAGTAGGGATGTACACACGGCTAAGGTGAAAGAATTGTTTTCTTTTTTTAATCTGTAGAATATAGACAAAAGATTTCACACACAGTGTATGCCTGCACAAACAGGGGGACAGAAAGAAGAAAACAACTAAAAGCCTGTCCTGAATGGAACCATTACAGAATTGAGGCCTTAGAATTTAGGATTTTGATATCGAAAGTGGTGGCACAAGCCTATAATTCCAGCGCTGGGGAGGCTGAGACAGGAGGATCATGAGTCTGAGCTGCATATATACCGAGACTCTGTATCAAATAAATGAATGAATTAATTAATTAACTGGTTAATTTAGGGTACTGTTGAGACACCAGAGTCCATTGCTGGAGTTGGGCGTGGGACACACACAGCAGGACATGTGGACTTTCATGTTTTGGGGAGTCACAGACAAATCCTTATTCCACCAAGGCACTTCATGTTGTAAGCTCTTTTTACTGTAGATGCTGATTTCAATATTTATGTGATAAAGACTGCTTACCTCACAGACATCTTTTGTTGGTCCAGAAAATTTCACAGGTCTCTTAGAGATATTTAATTCTGAATATGTCTTAGAATTTAGATATTATATTTAACTCTGATTATATCTTTAATTAAAGATACTCCAAGCATCTTTAGTCTCTGTATTGCCTCTAGTTTCTATTCTTTTTTTGTTTTTGTTTTTGTATTTTTGTACCTTAGGGAAGGGTCTACAGGATGTTCAGGGTCTCACTGCTAGATAGGACTTGTAGTGATCCACTTGTTTACAGCCTCCCAAGAGCTAGGATTACAGGAGTGTGCCACCACACCCAGTCTCAATCAGTGTTTCAGTGCACCCTGGGGGCAGGGCCAGCACAGCAGGCCAAGGGATCGAAACCCAGGCCCCTGCACCTGCTTGCAGGCACTTTAATCCACTGAGTTATTTGTCCAGCCCTTACACAGAGCATCTTAGCAATTTAATTACCAAATATTTTA